AAATCAACGGTAGAATTCGTAGGCCACCCAGTTTCATCGTCTGGTATCGAAGTCCTTCTTGATAATATCCAGGCAATCAAGGACTTACCAGCTCCAAATTCGTTCAACCACCTCCGTCGATTTTGTGGTTTGGTCAACTACTATCGCCGCTTCATTCCGTGCTGCTACCAGTTCATGCAGCCTCTGACTGAACTACTTAGAGGGAATGAACGCAAGTTCACATTCTCTGACACAGTACAGACAGCCTTCACCGAGCACAAGTATGCTATCTCCAACGTAGCCCTCCTCGTTCATTCCGAATCGACTGCACCCATTTTTATTACGACTGATGGCTCAGATATCGCGGTAGAGGCCGCCCTCCGAAAACACGTTGGTGGGCGATGGCATTCCTTTGGGCTCTTCTCCAAAAACCAGTCATCAGCGGAATCCAACTACAGCACGCTTGGCAGAGAAGTGCTCGCCATTTACCTAGCCATTCGTCACTTCCAACACACAGTAGAAGGTCGCAATTTCACGGTCTACACTGATCACAAGCCTCTTATCTGCGCCTTCAACTCTGCTTGCAGCAAATAATCACCACGAGAAACAAGACACCTAGACTTGGTCATGCAGTTTACTGCTGACATACATTATGTCTCAGGTGTCGATAATCCCGTCGCCAATGTTCTCTCACGCGTCAACCTCACTCTCCAGTCTTTGCCTACCGTCGACCTTGCCGCCATGGCATCGGATCAGATTCAAGATGAAGACACGCAACGCACTTTGCAGTCCACTTCGCTGCATGTGCAACTTGTTTCTCCCCAAACCACAGAAGAGACCATTCTCTGTGACACCACCGAAGGTTGTCCCAGACTACTCGTGCCCGTCTCCTTCAGACGTACATTCTCTGATGCACTGCACTCCCATATCCCGGTATCCGTACATCTTGGAAACTGGTCACCGAACATTTCGTTTGGCCACGCGTAAACAAACATTTCCATACCTGGGCTCGTACCTGCCTTCAAGTCCAGCGCTCCTGAATACATCGTCACACCCGCAGTCATCTTGGTTCATTTCCTGCCCCGGACTCTCGGTTCTCGCATGTACACTTAGACCTGGTGGGTCCTTTGCCTCCTTCACGCGGATTCGTGTACATTCTTACATGTGTCGACCGCTTCACTAGATGGCCAGAAGCCATTCCTGTAACAGACTGCACAGCTGAGACTGTTATCCGGGCCTTCTTGGACCGGTGGGTCTCGCACTACGGATGCCCATCCACCATTACAACTGACCGAGAAACGCCTTTCGAATCTTCACAATTCGATACGTTCTGCAACTTTTTAGGCTGCCGCCGCATTCATACCATAGCGTATCACCCAGCAGCCAACGGGTCAGTTGAACGTTTCCATAGACAGCTTAAAGCCTCGCTCTGCGCCTCCACCGACCCTAGCTGGAGCGAAAACATTTCGTTTGTTCTCTTAGACATTCGTAGCAGCATCAAAACTGACTTGCAATGTGTACCAGCAGAGCTGGTTTACGGCACGACGATCAGGTTACCAGGAAAATTCGTTTCACCTCCCGCATCGTCGGGTATGCCTTCGCTTAACTTTGCGTCCTCCCTAGCTCAACGCATGCGTTCAGTACGCCCCACCCCGCCCCGTGAACAGACTAGAGATGTGCAAATGCACAGCGGACTCTCTACCTGCACTCACGTCTTCCTCCGCACCGACGCCGTGTGGTGCCCTCTCCAGCCTCCCTACACTGGCCCTTTCAGAGTTCTGCAACGGACTCCAAAACATTTTACTTTAGACCAGAATGGTCACCGAACAACGGTGTCCAACGACCGTCTCCGGATTTCTTTGACGAGCCACTTGCAGCCCATCCTGATGCTCTCGCACAAGCACCCGCACCTGTGGTGACTTCCGGAGCACTAGATAATCCGGAACCCGCCGTACCCCTTGACCCGCAACCTATCCCGCCGCAACCCCAGGCAACCGACCGACGCGGTAGACAGGTCAAACGTCCGGTCCGTTTTTCAGATTTTGTAAGCGTTTGCTATTTCCATTAACATGCCTTTATTGTCTTCAATGGTTATCCTGCGTCTCATCCACAAACGTTTTGCAAAATCGAAAAAAATCAAAACATTTTGAAAGCCTAAAAAGCGTATTTGTTTTTATCATGCATGCCATGTTCCTTCTCCTCGGCGTCAAGCCACTTCCCCGACCCTTGCCCACCCCCTCTGAGTTCTACCTTCCAGAAACGCAACGGGCTCAACGCAACCCTGGAGTGACTCGCCAGTCGTCCCAAAGCCCCCTTCCTCACCAAAGGAACAGATAGTCGTCGTCGGCCTCAGACACCCACGAACGGATTGGTCCCCAAACGCCGCCTAGGCATTGCCGACGAGGACGCCTGGATTTCTTCGTGGGACGACGACCGTGAACTAAAGTGCGGTGGGGGGAGTGACACCTCCCAAGTGCATCGTCGGGTCTGCAGCAAAGGGAAGGTCCTGTCGGCCTTTTTTCTGGACTAGCCAGTTTTTTTAGTCCGACCAGCCCGCCCCGACGGCCCACCGAGGATGCACTCTGGTCCACACGATCGTCATAAATAACTAACAAAAGCCTGGACCCAGCGAAATTTGCTACACACCCACTTTGGAAGCCCTTACTCAAGCCCCTGCAAATATTCGCATCAACCCTCACCTTCCGTTTCCCCCACTAACAGCTCCATCAAAGGCTTCCATTCTTCAGCCTTCTAGAGGGAGGCCCTTGTAGTGTACCGGAAAACAAGCTCTTTCAGTATTTGGTAACATTGGATTTTACGGTTGTTTTAACCTTCGAAACGTCCATTTGTTTTACTGACTGCACGTCCGTTGACACACAAACCGTTTTGGTGAGTACCTCGCTGCACGTTTCTCGCTCTGTCTGACTCGCTTCCTATTCTTGTAGCCTGCACAATATACGTTGGGTTAAGTCGCCTCCGACTTCCGTACTGTCGTGTTTGACACGTCTTACGTGTCATTGTTTACCGACTAGCATGCCAGGCTCCGCCCAACAATACCACCATATTCCGGTGCATCCTGACGATATACATAAGACTGCAGTTACTACTCCGTTCGGTATGTTCGAATTTTTAAGTATGCCTTTTGGATTGCGTAACGCTGCGCAAACTTTTCAACGGTTTATTGATCAGGTCTTACATGGTCTACCTTTCGTTTTCGAGTTCTTGGACGATATTTTAATAGCCAGTAAGACACCAGAAGAGCACAAACAACATTTGCGTACGTTATTTCAGCGTTTAGACGAATTTGGAATCACCATCAACCTAAGAAAGAGCCTCCTAGGAGTTTCGTCCTTAAATTACCTAGGTCACCGAATCGATAGCACTGGTCCGACACCAACAGATCACAACTCGTTATCGCTCACAACTTATCCTCCCCCGACATCCTTCCGCCAACTCAAGAGGTTTCATCCCGCATGCAGCCGAGATTTTAGCTCCTCTAACAAATCTCTTGGTTGGACCTCAGAAACATTTCGATATGTCCGATGCCGCTACGCAAGCTTTCACGCAAATAAAGGCGCTCTAAAATTCAAGTGAATCTATTTCATATCCGTGCGGACGCAACTTTGTCTCTTAACACCGACGCTTCTAATACAGCCGTCGGAGCAGTCCTGAATCAATGCGTTAATAATCAACTGCAACCCATTGGCTTCTTCTCAAAAAGGTTGACGACGACGGAAATACACTATAGCACCTTTGGCCGGGAATTTTTAGCCATTTATCTAGTTATTAAGCACTTTCGACATCTTCTCGAAAGCCGTGAGTTTTATGTTTTTACTGACCACAAGCCGTTAGTCTCCGCCTTTCTTGCTAAACCTGACCGCTATTCACCTCGTGAGATTCGTCATCTCGATTACATCTCACAGTTCACGTGCGACATTAGACACATAACTGGTGCTAGTAATATTGTAGCGGATAACTTGCCCCGACCGGCTGTCGACGAGATAACCGGTATGTCCTCCATCGATTTCCAACGCATGGCACAACTGAAGAGAGCTATGTCACTACCGACGCATACGGATAGCCAATCCTCATGATTGAAGATACGACCATTTCCGATACCTTCGGCACCTGGTACATTTGACTGTGATATGGCGATAAATAACCCTAGACCATGGGTATCCGAACCTATGCGTAGAGAAACATTTAAAGCTTTTCATAACGTTTCTCACCCTGGAATCCGCGCGACCCTTCGTTTAATAGCGCAACGTTTTGTTTGGCCGAATATGAACGTGGACATACGCAAATGGGCTAAACATTGCATACCGTGTCAACGTCCTAAGGTCGTTCGACATACGCACTCTGATAATGGTACTTTCGCACAACCTGATCGCAGATTCGACCATATTCATATTGATATGATTGGTCCACTACCCCATTCAAACGGAAATTCATGCATTCTGACTTGTATAGATCGTTACACTCGATGGCCTGAAGCCATTCCTATTGCGGACACATCGACAGAAACTATTGCTCGCGCACTGATTACCGGATGGATTGCCATTTTCGGTGTCCCTTCCTACATAACCACTGATCGAGGTTCATAATTCAAGTCACATCTTTTTCAGCAACTGACCGAACTATTCGGTTGCAAACGTATACGTACAACGGCCTATCACCCACAAGCGAACGGTTTAGTCGAACGTTTTCATCGACACTTAAAAACCGCTCTCAAGGCAAACGGCGATTGAGCTAGATGGACAGAACAACTCCCACTCATCCTACTTCACATACGCAAGATGTTTCCTACAACACTGAACTGTTCACCGGCTGAGTTGGTCTTTGGCACAACATTACGTATACCCGGCCAATTTTTCACACCCGACACAGCAGTACTCAGTGACCCTCCAACGTATGTGGCACGTCTGAAAAAGCACATGAGCAAACTACAATACTGCGCATCCACTTTCACAACAAAACTACCCCACATTCCTCCTGAACTTTCGACCTGTACCCATGTTTTCATTCGCGCTGACCGGGTAAAAGAACCTTTACAACCTCTTTATGAGGGCCCATTTCCGGTACTTTCACGCCAAGAGAAATACTTCACCATTCTATGGCGTGGCAAACCTGATACTATCAGCATAGATCGTTTGAAACCGGCGTATACGGATTCAGTGGAGACATACCACACGGACAAAGATCCAATATGCACTGCCAAGGCCAAGACGCCGACGATCGACAATACACGATCACCCAAAATTCCGGGACGAAATCAAGCACGCACCACGCGATCTGGAAGACAGGTACATTGGCCTGACCGTTTTGTTGCAGGCTGACACAACTCAGGCTCCGATGCATACCATTTTCTGCACTTTTCAAGGAGGAGGGTATTGTGAGATCACATCCCATATGAAGTTTTATTTCGTCGCACTTGTGAGATCGCATTCCACATGAACTTTTATTCCGTTGCACTATCTTCGGAACGGAAGGTTTTATCATCATGTGCACGTGTAATTAAATCCGAGGTCAACATAACAAAACTACTACAGTCTTATCGAGATTGCCTTGGATACCACATCCTCACATCGTGTAATTAAGTCTCGCTTGACCTACATCACAAACGAGGTCAACATAACAAAACTGTTTCAGTCTTATCGAGATTGTCTTGGATACCACATTCTCACATTGTGTAATTAAATTCCTCTTGACCTACATTCACACATCGTACCACTTACGGCCCACATGTTTGAACGCCCGAACGAAACATTATATAAACAGTATAGTACATCGACAACAACAACTCTCGACCGACTACAGTGTTACTCCCGTACAACGAACGCCACACGACCGTTCCGACTAGTGCTTCGACAACCGTCACGAAAAGCGCTACGCCCACGACGACAAGACAATCATCACACGACCGGACTGGCCGCGACCTGCAATTCCCCACGAACAGGATTTGTGCTCTGAGATAAGTCAACACTTTCTCATTACTTTATTTTTGAGTGACACTATTAAATTCTGTTTCGTACATTGTATTCTTAGGGCCGGCCTCTCCTTTTTATATCTTTACTGTACTGATACACAACGAACACGCCTCAATACTTATACTTCATTTTTGTTAGTGCACACCTTCTGATATTTTCAATCCGCCAACTAGTCGAGTAGTAACCTACTAAGCCACTAACAAGCGCATGCGATCGCGAATGCCTGAGTCAGACAGGCCTAGTGAGCCATATGCCAGGCTACTCAGGTCCTACTGAGAACGTAGGCAGAACCGACGCAGCGTTTTTACGTACGCTGAATTCGATTTACTAACCGCGTGGTTGCAGGCTGAGTCTCTTTATTTCAGATGATGGGTTTGCTATATAGTCTTAATGATCTTTTTCCTCACGGTTATATCTACCTGAACTATCTTTTATTAATTTGCACACGTAGGTTAAGCTAATTGTCGTCATACTAATAATTGTAGCTAGCATCGATAACATTTTCGCGTTTGTGGCATTTTTTTAAATTATATTTTCTGACGTCTTGAACTTATCGCGGATTTGTTCGTAACCAATTTATTTTATATGCTCATTTAGTGAAGAGTTTTGTTACCCTGTCTCTATGCATCATTCTTTTTATTTTATTTGATATCGTCATTTCAAGTGGCTGGCTGTTATTTGACTTCCCAGATGTGGCTGCGCTTGATGTGCATGTTGACAAGGTGCCTACCTGTCTATTACCCACTACCTCGTCCATACTGCCTCCAGGAGACAGTTGGTCGTTGCTGGAAGAGACGGGGTGCACGGTTCTTGTGGCCGTGCTGGGATCAAAAAGTGGTTCCATGCACCCAGTGTGGAGCGGACTACGGTACAGCCACCGCCTTGTGTGCGGTTGATTCCCTAAATACAGCGTGCTTGTGTTTGATTGTGAAGGAGTGTGGGCCGGCTCCGTTGATGAAACGTGGCTCCCATCCGCATGCCTCCCGGTCTTATTCCTTCGGGTTTAAACTGGATGTGTGGTGTGTGAATGAAGCTGTGAGTGGTGCAGCGCAAGTCACCTATGGTCTCTCTGTAGGCGCTGGCGTCCTGTAGCCGGCCATAATGACAGGCAAATCCGGAACCGGATGCCGCCAACCAAGTATTGAACGATTGTCATATACGTTACGAACTCACCCGCAAACATACGTATGCTTAAGGACAGTTGATCGCAGTCTTCATACTTCCCATACGACCAAAGGTCACAAGGACCAAAGGTCTTTGGCAAAGAGGAGAAAATTACGAATATTTCGTCAAGAATGCCAAACGGAGGGTCCAGTGAGGGTCGCATATATCACACGTGTTGTCATGAGAGCTATATATATATATATATATATATATATATATATATATATATATATATATATATATATATATATATATATATATATATATATATATGAGGGTTTTGCACTTCTCTCTGAGCTGAATGATGATATTGTAGACGTTTCGTTGCGAGAATAGGTAATGGCATCAGTGCGACTTTAACGTCCACTTTCGCAGAGCCTCGTAAGCGACTTGAGAGATTGAAAACCAAAAGCCGGTTGCATAAAAACAAAAAAATAAGAGAAAACAGACCTCCCAGGGAACAGTGTTTGTTTATTACAAACGTACCGGAATCTGAAAAAGTGACCCCATTTGAAAGGATCCTTGACGCCCAGTCATTCTCCAAATGAATGGTATCCATTCTATTCGTCAAAGGGGAGCAGGGCATTAACATCGTCTCAGCCTGCCGCCTGGTTAGAAAGCAGGAACATCCTATGAAGTTCCGCTCCCTTGAAGTCGTCTGTCAAGACGAAGAAGAATGCCGCCACATCCTCAGGTGCACTTCGTACCTTAAGGGTAGAACATTCTCCGTCCTGAAAGACCTCTGTCCGGAAGATTGAGTTAAAATGAAACAAGTTGCCAATAAGCTAGGCACGCGTAGAACGACTAGTGGGACTGATCTCCATATTGCGGAGTTTTGCGTAGTGAACAGAACACCGACAGCACGCTGGCGGCCAATTTTTCTGCTACCCAACCCGCTGGCGCAAATAGAGGTCTGCGAGTAATACTTGCCAGACGGAATCCACGATGACTGATGCACGGCCATCGGTGGACGCGCTTGCATCCTCAACCACAGAATTTGTCTCCGATTGATTGAGCCGAGTGACATTAAAACTGTGGTCTCAAAAGTATGTATATAATTTTCGAATGGAACTTGCGAACCAAGGTGATAGTTGGAACGTTCGGTTGTTGCTGAGAAAATTTGTTGCAGTTGAGTGTGAACGATACATGAATGTCTTGCTGCCGAAAAATTCAAGAGATTCCAACTTTGATGAGAAAGTGAAAACTCTGACAGATTTTTGGTGAGCAAGTCTCGTGGTTCAGCATTCACTATAATTTTTTGAAGTTGGCCAAACTTGGTGCTTGTGACATTGTCACCCATGACGGGATCATGAACCGCGAATGTGAACGATTCAAATGGGGCACGATGATCGTCGATCA